ACCTAATCAAAATTCAGGCACTTGCCTACTGACTCACATTTATGACGGGATCACACTTAAGACGGGATCACTGACTCACAATTATGACGGGATCAAGGGATCTCCTTCTGCGATGCTGTGACGAGCAGCATTGATGGGGAAGCCTGATTCACTTAACAACCAGGGGAACTGACTTAACAACTGCAGTTATTCACTTAACAACTCCAGCAAGAAAGGTTGCAAAATGGGAGCAAAAGCTCACTGAGCCACTGTCTCACTTAGCAGCGTACATTTTGGTCTCGGTCGTAAATAGGGGACCATATCTGCGTTGGGATCTAGTCCATTTTTATTTCCACTGGCTTTAAATAGGGGACCTCATTTTATGTTCTATTTCTCCAATGGGGAAACTTTTATTTCCCGTCCTTAAGATGTCACGATGGCGGTGTATTAAACTATGGTTTGGTTTAGCTCTGGTTTATTACAGGAACTTGGGGTTCAAGACTGAACGCGTGCATAATAGTAGGGTTGATTGGTGGTATAGCTGTTAACGCCGAGCTAAGCATTCGGTTTGCCGATCATGGATCGTGCCAGAGGGCATCGTGCCATCCCCACGAGTTGTGGTTAAGTCAACAAACCTAGGTTAATCCATAGGCCTTTATTTAGAGAGAACTTGGCCCTTGTTCATTTTCTCTTTATATTTGTTCATCTGTCTTTGTTTACACTCTCCTTTAAATAAATACGCTGGCGGTATCTTTGAGCAGCTTTGTTGCATTTTGTACGCCAAAAATATTACAATATTAGCTTTTGCACCTGTTTTTTTCTGGAGGTATATGAGAAATTTTCCCCTCTAGTTAACATCTGTCAAGATTCTCAAATCATCCAGGTTCTAGTTGCATCAAAAGTGGTTTTCTACATTTGAAAAGAGCAACTGGGCTGATTTTTCATCCAGTTGGTATTTCGACTTACGACCCCCCTATTGGGGGGGGGGGGGGCAAATGATCAGTGGCTAAGCGAGACATTTGTTCAGGGAATTTGGTCCCGTTTTACGACCGTTGTTAAGCGGAGGGCTGCCGTTGTTAAGTTAGCCAACATGGTTGTTGCGTGAATCTGCTTGGCAAAAGGTCGTAAAAGGAAATCACAGGCCGCAGCGACAGTCGTAAGTGTGGACCAGTTGCCAAGCGTCCGAATTTTGATCACGTGAGCATGGGGGACACTGCAACGGTCATAGCTCTGGGAAACGGTCGTAAGTCACTTCTTCTGTGTCGTTGTAACTTTGAACTAAATGAACTTCTGTAAGTGAAGAATTTCCAATTTTACATGAGATTGAATTAGCACGGCTAATTTTCAAGCAGTTCGTTAGCAGAGGTAAAATGCTTTTTTTAAAAAAAAGTTCCTTGTGAGATTAAAAATAAAGATATTAGAGTTAATATGAATTATATTTGATGACGGTGGAAGAGGTGCACAAAAGCCTTTTGTAACCAACTGATACACTTTCTACAGTATGTAAAGAAGGAGGATTTGTATGCTTGTTTTGAAAATAAAAATGTATTTTAAAAAAATAGAAACCAAACCCAGGAAAGAGAAAGAAGGGAGGAGAGAGATAAAAAGAAAAATAAATGAAGTGACTTTCAATTTTTTTCCAGGGCCGTAGGAATAGCTTTAACCTCCCGCTTTATATTTCTAGCTATTTCAAACCATTTCTATAACAACGCACTCGGTCCGGTCATCCTAACCTCAAATCAGAGTTATATTATTTATTTTTTCAGTCTCAAGGACAAATTCCAGGTGGCTTTTTCGAGTAGAAAAGAAAACAAGATTAGTTTTCTTCTAATTAAACTCAGTTTTGCCATCTCTGCCACCTTCATTCCTCCAGGGTGGGAATCAGTTAGTCCAGTCATAGCTTAATCTTTTTGTGGTTGTGTACTGGAAGTGTGTGCGAGCCCACACCTCTTATGCAATGGATGTGCGACAGCCCCACAGCTCTGCTTGCTTTCAAGTTGTCTTATCTCGGAGTCCTAGTGGACAACCATTTAAATAGGAGCCAGCCGTGTGCAGCAGCTGCCAAAAAAGCCAACACAATTCTAGGATGCAACANATGTCCGGACTTCAACTCCCAGAATTCCCCAGCCAGCATTCGCTGGCTGGGGAATTCTGGGAGTTGAAGTCCGGACATCTTCAAGTGGCCAAGGTTGAGAAACACTGGCTCTAAGCCATCTTGCAACCAATTAGATGCCAGTTTTAAAAATAGAAAGAAAAACTACAACAGTTTGCAGCATTTTTGTACATCTATAAGCGTTCTCGGACTTCAGTGCAAAATGTCACGATTAATGCTGGCATATGTCTTCTGTCAGTACTTTATAAGTATTTAGAAAGACAGTAATTTAATATTATTTCGACTACCATGAGAAGTGGGATTTTGTTGTTGTCTACAGTCTGTCTCTCCCTTTATAGTTTTTTTTTAAAAAAGGAAAAAAAAGAAGAAGTGGGGGGGGGGGACGCCAACTTCTACCTCTCTCAACTTTGATATTGTGCACTCTCCGCCCCCACCCCGGTGGTCACTTTTAAAGGCTGTGGCAAGTTTACTCTTTATTCAAATCATTTTTCTGTGAATTTTCTGCTTTTCACAGAATCCTCTCTTCCTCCTTCTCTCTCTCTTTTTTTTCTCTCTCTCTCCTTTTCACACTGTGAATAATAGTAATTGTAGCTCCTGAAAAATCCACAGCTCCTCCTAAGCAGTGATGCTCATAAACTTCCAATTTTAGTTGGGTTTTGAAGCCAGAGACGAATAATCCTCCATATAAATGATGCTTGATTGTCATAATTGTGTCCTGGTCCATAGTTCAAGTTGCCACCTAGTGGGAAGCGTGAATGAACCTCCCCTCCTGCTTCCCCATCAGCCTTCGCTTTGACTTCCATCTTTATTCCCATCAAGAGCTGGGAGCATCACTCAATTTTTCGCCTTTGATTGGGAAGCCCAAACTTTTTATCTCTTAAAAACTACCGCCTGAATGTTCACCATCTCAGTAAATTGGTCAACGGAATAGATTTATCCTAGGCAGTGGTTAAATAACACACTATTATTATTATTATTTTTGCACAAGAAAAGCCGTTATAAAAAAGTGTAGATCTTGAATATAAAAGAGTAAGGAATCTGGCACTCCTTCCAGGCGAGACTAAAGAGGCCTCTGTGCGCCAGTCGACTATGGAGACAGAAGTGGGGTGTTTTTCCCCCCCCATGGGGAGACCCTGGGAGCAATTGAGGCTTCCCCATTTCCTCACAGTGACCCAATAGGAAGCCAGCATCTGAGAGCGCTAACCACCACCCTCGCGCGGATTCCTCTTCAAATGTCATTGTCCAAAAAGTCTCCCTGGAGTTGAGAATGACGCCGGATGAGCTTCACACAAAAGGGACCGTGGAATACGAGACCTGATGATGTGGAAAGCCTGCCCCCCCTCCCCTCCCCACCCCTCCAAGACCTCCGCTGTGGAAGTTGGCACGACAAGAAGGCCCTTCCCCTATTGCTGTTTTCTTTGGGTTCTTCTGTGACTCAAGTGGCATTTCAAAAACAACGGCGAGAGCATTTGGTTGTGGATGACTCGGCTTTACCTCAGCGAGTGGGGGGAAAAATGCGGTCTCGGGAGGTGGGCTTTAATTAAAACGAAGCTTATTTGCATTATAGACATCTCAGTGCAAAGCTGACGAATTCTGGCTCCTACGTGGCAGCGCTGAGATCGGTGTTGCTGCTGCAGAATTGTTCGTATTGTCCAGTGATTGAAGGGAGAAGAGCAGCTGGAGGCTAAATGACATTTTCAAAGAGTTGCATGGAGCGCATTATGTTTTCATCCTGCAAACAAGCAAACAAACAAACAAAAAAGCGTAAAAACTCTAATTATTAGGAAAAGATATTTGAAACCAAATTCTTAACAACACCAACATACAGTTATGGATATAGTGAATGTCTCTTTTAAGATGAAACTACTATATCATCTCCCATCTATCTGTCTATCTAACTATCTGTCTATCAGCCATCATCTGTTGTTAGTTGCAAAGTTGTGTCTGACCCATCGCGACCCCATGGACCATGTTCCTCCAGACCTTCCTGTCCTCTACCATCCCCTGGAGTCCATTGAAGCTCACGCCGACTGCTTCGGTGACTCCATCCAGCCACCTCCTTCTCTGCCGTCCCCTTCTTCTTCTTTTGCCCTCCATCGTTCCCAGCATGAGGCTCTTCTCCAGGGAGTCCTTCTTCCTACTCCTTCGCCAAAGTCTTTGAGTTTCCTCTTCAGGATCTGGCCTTCTAAAGAGCAGCCAGGGTGGATCTCCTCTAGGACTGACCGGTTGGATGGCCTTGCAGTCCGAGTCTTCTTCTCCAGCACCAGAGTTCAAAGGCCTCCATTCTTTGGCCCTCAGCCTTCCCACTTTCACAGGCATCCATTGCAACTGGGAAAACCACAGTCTTGGCTAGACACACTTTTGTTGGCAGGGGGATGTCTGCTTTTTAGTAGGCTGTCTAGATTTGCCATCATCTACTTACTATCAATCAGCTACTCAACTATGTCTCATCTGGGTAATCTTCCAAAGTCCAGGATAGCTGAAACCACCACATGCTTTTATTCAAGATCCATCTGTTGATTCTTTGTCCCTGCAGCACCTCAGCAAGCCTCCTGTTGGTTTCTGGAGATACAGATGAATGTTCTTCGTCTCTACACGAGGCGCATTAAGGCCCCCAGATCATCATCAGTGGGCTGGGCAAGCCATTTCACTTTGCTCCCCCAGATATGGGAATACGCACTTGTGCATTGCACTGTCTTGTTCCCCATTAATAGGGTTGGTAGCGCTTGCAATTAAGAGATGGAACTTGGGAGCCAACAAGATCTGGCGTAATGTTTAAGTATCAACTGACCAACCATAATAATGAAAATGGAAATATCTAAATGGTGGCACGAGTCATCGCCTAAAACAGGTAGACACTTTTTGCAGTCCAGAAAGATCCTCTAAAAGGATGGAAATGTCCAGCTGTCTGCAAGGAAGACAAATCCTTCCATTCTCCACCATCCAGCCAGAACTGAAGAAGCTTCTTGGCTGAGGAGTGAAACGTCTTCAAAGAAAAACCAGAAAGTCCAGTTTCCTCTTGAAAAAAAAAAGCACCTTTGGGACAACCAGGACCTGGAGAATCTCCATAGAAGCCACTCCCCAATTACTCAGGTAGGGAATTACAGGTATGAAAAGGAAGATATTTCCCCAAATCCCCAATTCTTACTTATGGGGCAGGTTAACATTTATTTTTTGTTATGTTTTCCTGCAATATTACAATCGACAGAGTCACAGCAGTGGGAGTTTCTTCTAATGTCACCGGTAACTTTACTGAGGGTGACTCCGTCGTTAAACAAAGCGGTTGCTAAGGGACACAATAATGTTATTTCAGCTTTCCTTTGCTTTACAAGCCTGCGAAGGTTGTGCACACAAGGGCTTGGTGTCAAGTTACTTTTTCATCAATGTTGAAATTGCAAANTTTTTCACAAAAAATGAAGCGTTCAGAGGCTTTCGGAGGTCTGCAGAGTGCAAAACCTTTTTAAAAAAATTTACCTCTTCAAAATCTTGGTGCTTCTTATACTCTGGAAAATAGGGTATTCTGACTTTGCAAGAAGCCCCCCTGCTCAGAACTGCCCATCACCTTCACAGCTGAGGTCCCTTGGTTAGGACTGGGACTGTTAGGTTTTTACCAGTCCCAGACTTCGAATCGGATCGGAGGTGAAATCTTAAATAGTGATTATTTCAGAATAATTGCTGGCTGCTTTTGTTCTCAGAGCAACGCTTATCCAGGCACGCAACTAGCACCGATTACAGCACTTTCTGAACAAGGCACTTGGGATGTCTGAAAAAGAGAGTCAGAAATTCTCACCAGTGAGAATACACGGTGTTTTTTTTTCCTTTTCTTTTCAAGCAAAAACTACCTGGCTACTTTGATCACCGCAATGCCAGGTAGAGCCAGAAGGGGGCGAACGTACATTTGAGATGGAAGAAATTCTTCCCATAGAGGTTAGGGATTTCAGAGGCGAAGGGAGCCGCGCATTGACACTGTGTGGTGTGTGACTCCGGCAGGGGCTGAAAGAGACGAGGCACCCGTATACCTTCATCTCCCAGGAGGGCTTCAAGGAGATGCTCTCGGTGGAAGGCGCTGCTCAGAAAACTCTCCCGTTGCTTCCTCGGCTCGTTCCAGTGTTAAAAGGTGCTTTGGTAGGTCCCTCAAAACACAACCACAGACCCCCGCTGGCTTTTTTCCCACTTCTACGTCTCCCAAAAGGCAGGGCTAAAAATGGAATAAAATAGGAATAGGAATAGAAAGTAGAATAGAATAAATATTGGAATGAAGAACAGAATAGAAAATGGGATAGAATAGAATATACAATAAAATAGAATAGAATTCAGAAATAGAATTAAGAATTGGGAGTGGAATAGAGTGGAATAGAATGAGTAGAATAGAATAGAATAGAAATCGAATTCTTTATTGGTCAAGAGTGAATTTGTCTTCGGTGCATAAACTCTCAGTGGACATAAAAAGACAAGATTCATCAAGAATCGTAAGGCACAACACTTAATGATAGTCACAAGGCACACATAAGCAATCAGAAAACAATATCAACATCAATTGTAAGGATACAAGCAGCAAAGTTCCAGTCCTGCAGTCATAAGTGGGAAGAGAGAGATACTAGGAACGATGAGAAGACTAATAGTAGTGCAGACTTAGTGAATACTTTGACCGTATTGTGGGAAACGGTTGTTTAGCAGAGGAAAAAACTTCCCCCGTGTCTCATTGTCTTGGTGCGCAGTGCCTTATAGTGTCGTTTTGAGGGTGGGAGATGAAACAATTGATGTCCAGGATGGGAGGGGTCTGTAGATATTTTCCCAGCCCTTTTTTTTGATCCGTCCAGTGTCCAGGTCCTCAATGGAAGAAAGGTTGGCAGTATTTGTTTTTTCTGAACATGGGGAGGAGGGATTATTATTATGGTTATTGTTTTTGAGGGGAGGAGGGAGGCTGCTTGTACAGCTCACCCCCCCAAGCCAGGGATTCTTAAAGTGAACATGTGTTTCTTCCATTTCCTCTTCTCTCCCAAAGGCCCATTCAGATGACGACGTCTTCAGGAGAGGCCTGAGGGCCTTGGTGCAGTTGAGTGCCGTGGTGGGCTTCTGGCTTAATGGGCACCTGAAGCACCTGCTTTCCAGTGTGAGTACGGCCAGGCTTTCCTCCCAGAGTCCCTGCTTGTAACCTGGTTCCAAGTTTCCCCTCTCTGTGGCGAGGGAGGATCTGTGTTGTAAGGCCGTCCCCATGCTCACGGGCAGCATTTCTGTGGCTCTTTGGCCCTGTAAACTGGGGGGTGGGGTGTGCATTAAAGGTGAAAACTCCTTTGGGAACTGGGATAAGAAGGCGCTGGATTGGCTCCTCCCCCCTCAGCCCTAACGCCATTTCCTTGGCCTTAGCGTGGTCATACAAGCCCTCAGATTTCAAACCACGCTTTATCGCTTGCTGTAATACAGGGCAGTGGTGGCGAACCTCTTTGTAAAGGTGTGCCAAAATCATCTGTGTGCGATAACGCTTGCCCATAATGCACCCCGCCCACTTGCGCATGTGCGTGTAAACCCCACCCACCCCCACATGGGGGGGAGTTTTCACCCCAGGCTCCGGAGGCTTTTCTGAATCCTGGGAAGGGTGAAAACAGCCTCCCCAAAACCCTCCAGAAGGCTGAAAATCAGCTGTCCGGCACACGGATGCGCTCTGGAGCCGACATATAGCATGCCAGCAAATATGGCTGTGGACGCCACGTGTGGCATAGGTGCCATGGGTTTGCCATCACGGGTATAAGGGGGTACCTCTGTTCTCCAAAGCACCAGAAAGGCAGGAACAACCCCGAAACAAATATTCCTGCTTTATTCCGTTCCATGGTTTCAAAAACAGACCATCTGCTGCTGTGGATGAGCCTCTGCCTTTTGCAACCTTTCAGGGGCCCCTGAAGGTCTCACTCTCCTCTTTGCCTCTCCGTTTTGGCCCTCAGCTTTCCAAGAGGCAGATGAGCAAGAAGTTCAAAGAACAAACTATGGAGGCTTTGCAGAAACTGGAGCAACACGGAGGGAAGGTAAGGGCTGCCTGTTGATCTCAGCTGATTCCGCCTGCGTTGTCTGGTTGGGTTTCGCCTGAAGCCGGTCCTGTAGCAGCATCGGTTCTGGCCGAGGCTTCCCCAGAGCCTGAAGGAAACTCCTGGTCCCCCCCAAAAAACCCCTGTGAATTCTGCAAAGTCTTTCAAGGGAGGATTTACGGTCACAGACCTTATCAGGCTTGGAGAGCTGCCAGGCCGATCTCTGCAGAACTTGGCCAGGAGTCTCAGAGAGTCAGGAACCAAAATTCACCTGCAGCTGCAGGGGTACTTCACCCCCCTCCCCTGCCCCATCTTCCCCTCCCCCCATCCAAGGCCTTTTGGCCTCCTGAAACCCCAGCTGATGCCTCCCATCTTGTTTCTTCTGCTGCTGACCGAGCATAAAGAGAGCCAAGGTGGCGCAGTGGTTAAATGCAGCACTGGAGGCTACTTCAGCTGACTGCTAGTTCTGCAGTTCGGCTGTTCAAATCTCACCGGNATTTCTAACATTTTGACAGGCACTTAAGACCATCCTTTTTCCAATAGTCCTCGGGATGTTAATGATGTTGGTGGAGGAAACAGGATATATTTTTATGATTTTGCTAAAATAAAATGTACTAGTTTTGTAAAAGGTATTTTATAAACTTTGACATTAAGTGAAAAACAGAGGAAGACACACTGTCTTTCTGTCTGGCTCTCTCCTCTCTATGTCTCTCTCTGTCTCTCTCTCCTCTGTCTGTCTGTCTGTCTCTCTCTCTGTGTCTCTCTCCTCTCTCTGTCCCTCTGTGTGTGTGTGTCTCTCTCTCTCTCTCTCTTTTCTTTGTGTCTGTCTGTCTGTCTGTCTGTCTCTCTCTCCGCTTTTGTGTCAGTCTTGGCAGCTGCCTGGACAAATCCCTGTTATTTATATTTCCAACGCTTTATTTTATTTTAGGTTAGTCCATGGCTCCATCAGGCACACGTTGCAATGGGAGAGTCATCCTGCCACACTTCCGTTTGACCCTCTCCTTATTAATTTAGCAGAGGTAAATCCCTTTGGGGGGGATATCCATATTTGTTTTAAGTTTGAGAGACAATTCCTACAATTTGTATTTTCTTCTTGACTCTGTTCAAAGGACAAAGGGGAAGCTGGGATTTTCTTAAAAAGTGATGTATTAAAACCCTCCTTTAAAAAAAAAAAACCCCACAAAAATGAAAGTTATAATTTTATGGAGAACTCTGGAAGCCCAGGAACAGTTTTGCCACGGGGCTTCCCCAGATTTTGAATCTGTGGTCCAAACCAGTGTTTCTCAGTCTCCGTGACCTCAGTGAAGATGTGTGCGGCGGCTGGGGAGTTTGAAGAATTGACGTCCACCCAGCTTAACATTTCTGAGCTTAGGAAACCTCAGCGTTGGTCTGAATTGCTTCCTTTAAGAAAATAAAAGCATTGTGTACCCCAACACATTTACATGTGGGCTTTTTTGAAAGATTCATACAAAGACATTCCAGGCACAACATTGCAAGTTGTGAATCGTTTATGGCCTAGTACAGAAAAGTAATTTACACGGCAATTGTTTATGGATTTAAGTTAGGAAGTTTGCAAATGACACAGTTGGGTAACTTACTTGTCCTCTCCCTCTACTACGTCCATACTATATGTCATTTACTTCTGCACACTTCTGGATTGTGGATTCCCCCCCCACCCACCCTCTTCTTAGGGTTAGGGTTAATTTTGAACTTATCCGACCGATATACTGTGTTTTTTGGAGTATAAGACACACCTTTTCCCACCAAAAAAAGAGGGTGAAAATCTGGGTGCGTCTTATACACTGAATACAGCATTTTTGGCCTCCTGAAACCCTGCCCCCCATCCAAAATGGACGTGCAGAGGGTTTGGGAGGCCTGGAAAGTGGGCCGGTTTTTGCTCATTTTTGCCCA